CCGTAAGCTGGACCAGTACCTGAGCACCCCTCTGGACTACGAGCTGATGCGGGACCCCCAGCTGGTCATCTCCCGCCGGCGGTTCCTGGATGGGGACCAGATGACCCTGGCCGACTGCAGCCTGCTCCCCAAGCTCAACATAGTGAATGTGAGAAGACCGTGAGGAAGGCAGAGCCCCCTTCCTCTCCTCCCCCCCCCCCCCGTGGGTCCCCCTGGCTGCCCTGGGCACCCTTTTCCCCCCCCTGGGCATTTCCTGGGGCAGAATTCCCCGCCACGTCTCCTCTGGGAGCACCTAACGTATTCAAGGAAGGGCGGGACTCCTCTTCTCCACCCCACCCTCCACGGAGCCATAATTACCCCAAAACGCAGCACAAACAAAATTGGGTATCCCGGGAATCTCGACCTTCCAGTTTGGGTTCATCTTGAAAACAAAGTCAGCGGAACAAAGGGACGGCTGGCACAGCCACTCTCGACTGACCTGGGCTTCCCTCCCCTCTCCTGCAGGTCGTGTGCCAGCACTACCGCCAGGCGGGCATCCCCAGAGAGCTGCGGAGCATCGGGCGCTACCTGGAGTGTGCTGCCGAGACCAAGGAGTTCCAGTACACCTGTCCAAACCCCCTGGAGATCATCCAGGCCTACCACGGTGTGGTCAGGCAGCCCCAGTAGCCCCCTGGCTAAAGTCGGGGCTGGCTAGCTCTGCCTGGCACCCAGGGCGCCCCCTCCTTCTCTCTCAGAGTCACTCATAGGGGAAGGAAGCGGGGCAGGTCCAGATCAGTGGGACCTCCGTGGGCACGGCCTTCAGGCGGCTCCGGCATCGCCATCTTCCCTCCCACCAAGGCAGCGGGTGCCACGCCATGTGGTCAGGCCCTGGCGCCCTTGGGCAGTGCTGGCAGTGCCCATGTGCTGTGGTGGTCCCTCACTAGCAAACCTGACTTTCTTCTCTGGAGGGCTCTGCTCCCCTCCTCTTGACCAGATTCGGTCCAGAAGATTTGAGGGAGGGGGGTCAGCTCCCTTCACCCCTGCAAAGCTGGCTTTAAGGCCTTGAAGTGGGGCTGGGGGCTTCTTAGGAAGCTTTGCTCATCTGAGACTGTGAGACCCTCGCTGGAACACGCGATCTGGCTCTTGGGTGTGTGTGTGTGTGTCACGGCATGTCTGCATTTCCACATTCTCTCTTCATCCATGGCTCTTTTTAAGTACCATATCCCCCCCCCCAACGTCCAATGCTTTAAATGTCTTTCCCCCAAATTAAATAGATGCCAATAGAGAATTTAGAATCCGTCGCTTTTTGTGTCCTAGACAGACTTCTTTCCCTGGAGAATCGGTTAGAATTGAAATATTCTCTCCCTGTTGTCCAACCCCCC